TAAATACTGCAGCAACTATGGGTTTATTGTTTCGTCTCTACGTAATTAGTGAAAATCACTGTGTTTTTCATAAATAGGATGAAGATTAAAGTTACCATGGATGATAAAATTAACTGTTGAGAACAAATGAACATCACTATTCAACTATTCTATTCAACTATTCTAAGAAAAAGTGGCATAAAACATCAGTTCATAAAATCATTATTAGCTTTTTTTTTTTTTTTTTTTTTTTTTTTTTTTTTTTTTTTTTTTTTGGGGGGGGGGAGATTATAGATACTAAAAAACTCAAAGAATAATGGATAATGCACTGCAAAAAAAAAAAAATGCATGCTGCTCCATTCTTTTGGAAAATAGTGATATATCAATATCTTCAATAAATATATCAGAGATCTTCATGACGTAATTACTTATTTTCCAACATGTGAATGCTAACATGAACACAGAGAAGAATACTATTATTATTACATACATACATTCACTAAGTAAAAATAACAGTAATAGTAATACTAACAACAATAGCAACTAGTAATCTAAATAGCATCAGCAATAGCAATAATAAATAAGAAAAATGGTATTTATGATGATGATGATGATGATGATGATGATGATGATGATGATGATGATGATGATGATGAAGATGATGATGATGATGATGATGATGAGATGATGATGATGATGTGATGATGATGATGATGATGAAGATGATGATGATGATGAAGATGATGATGATGATGAGATGATGATGATGATGATGATGATGAGATGATGATGATGATGAAGATGATGATGATGATGTGATGATGATGATGATGAAGATGATGATGATGATGGTGATGATGATGATGAGATGATGATGATGATGATGGTGATGATGATGATGAGATGATGATGATGATTGATGATGATGATGATGTGATGATGATGATGATGATGATGATGATGATGATGATGATGATGATGATTATAATTAGGATAACAATCATTATCATCAACATCATCATGATAAAAAAAATGAGGATCATGACAATGAAAATGATGATGGTGATGATGATGATAATGAATAATGATAAGGGTGGTGGTGATGGTGATTATGATGATTATGATTATGATTACAATTATTATTATTATTATTATTATTATTATTATTATTATTATTATTATTATTATTATTATTATTATTACTATTATCGTTATTACTATTATCATTATTACTATTATCATTATTGATATTATCATTAATATGATCATCATTATTATCAGAATTACTAATATCATTATCAACATTATTTCTATTATTATAATCAGTAGCAGTATTATAAACAAACGAGAAATATAAAATAAGAATAATGGCAAACTCATTAATCAAACTATATATATAAAAAAAAAAGCATTTGCAATCCTTTCAGCAAAATAAGATCAGACCTTGCGAAGCTGCCTCATGCAGGCGTCAATGAAAGGATAACCTGTGCGTCCCTCCGTCCACGCCTGCAATTGCTCGTCATCCTTTTTCCACGGGATGTCGATGCAGATGGGATTCCCTTTCATCTTATTATACTGCAGGATAACAAAGAAAGACATTATTATAGTTTATCAGAACAATTTCATACATACTCCATCTATCTATTTACTTATAAAGGGAATCAAAAGAAGATATACTTTCCAGACAAAAAAAGATTCACACAAGCAAAATTCCTCGTCAGAAAAGAGACACAAGAAAAGGCATCATGTGCAGTAAGAAGTTTGATTGATATGCACGTCAGAAACTGCTTTCAGAAGACAGTTACCCGATGCTACCAATGAGCTTATACTTATAGGTGGATCTGCAAGTATTAAGTCACCTATGAGCTAATTATTTGTACTACCTATCTCACATGTTTACTATTTTCCTTGAATTTTGTCAATATTTCTTTGTATTTTATAATCCTATTATTAATTTTGATAACATTATAATAATTATAATGTCTATAATAATAACAAGAGCATCAATATTGATGGCATTAGTTAAAAAAAAATGGAAAACCGAAAACTTATGGAAAAGGGAAATCAGGTGAAAAGCAAGGTATACTAATTTGACTGGATTTGCAGCCATCTACTTGTTAAGAGTTATTGTTTGTCCTGACTCAAAATGTTAAATTAACATTGGAATATTTCTACAATGCTCAGGGTATGAAATACTTGCAAGTAAGCTTAACATTTTGTGATGCATATTGAGACCAAAATGGTGTTCTATGGCCTGTTCATATCAATTTAATTTGTACAATTACAAGTAAAATAAACAAGTACCCATTTTGTACCTTACATACTATTTTCTAATGTATGCTCTCTGACAGTATATAATAAGCATACCTAATCCCTTTTTCCAAGAGTACAATAAATATGGCAGCCAGTAGACATACCTTGTTTAATTAACCCCCAAGATGCAAACCTTCCAACTTGTCTGTCTGTCCCCTGTTCACTGTAGCACTGTTTTGTGAAATAATTCTATACAAAGATTTCTCAAGTGCTCAGCCGACAAGGAGTCAATCAATGGAGCACATGACGTCACCTGTTTTCACTTTGAATAAGTTTTGGGGATTTTTTTTTTCTTTCTTTCTTTACTAATGCTACCAGTATCAACGCTACGATCATTATCACAGACATTATAATCATTATACGGTTACTGATATTACTAATAGCAATATTAAATAGAAAAAAAAAGGCTAAGGGTAAGCAGGGAAGATAAGGGGTATTAGTAACTGTTTAAAGATAATTAATAAACTAAACTCACAGTGGGCTTGGCATGTACTTAACCCATTGCCGCCAGGGATGGCATGTACGTACATGCCATGCCTACTGTGAGCCGACTTGTTCGATTGTTTTTACACATAGATGGCTACACTTGTACTAAGTATCCAATGAGCCAATTACGAGTACTGCCTGTCTCGCCCGTTCACCCTTTTCATCGATTTACGAAAATAATTAACGTTATCCTAATTTGCTGTTAAAAATAACACCATCTATATTTATAGCACTAGTAAAAATACGCTTTTTTCCCGCCAATTCAAGGGAAGGTGAAATCAGGACTAGCAGAGCCATCTATGGACAAACATATTTAACAAAAATATAAAAAATGAGTACAGTATTTCCCCCATTTTTTGTTCATTTTCCCCGGCAGCAATGGGTTAAGCATCAACCCCAGCGGCATCAGGTTAGTCACACTTCCAGAACTTTTTAAATTTGGCACGAGTATTCACTGTTATGGGAGGAATATATCTAATGGGTTGTAAATTTGGCACAATTATTCACTGTCATGGGAGGAATATATCTAAAGGATTTTTAATTTGGCACAAGTATTCATTGTCATGGGAGGAATATATCTAATGGGTTTTAAATTTGGCATAAGTATTCATTGTCATGGGAGGAATATATCTAAAGGATTTTTAATTTGGCACAAGTATTCATTGTCATGGGAGGAATATATCTAACAGGTTTTTAATTTGGCATATGTATTCATTGTCATGGGAGGAATATACCTAATGGGTACAATCTACACTTATTTTTCCAATAGTTCCCAAATAAAATTCCCTTCTAGTATAAGACATTTTCGGAATGACGTAACAGTACTCACAGCTTCGTTGTTGGCAGACATGCAGTAGAAGAACTCACGCCAAATGAGCTGAGCCGTCAGGGAATGGAAAGGTGGTTTTATCTCCTTGTGTAGCTCGAAATATATGTCTTGAATATTCCAGTAAAATCTAAAATGAATTTAAAAAAAAATAGTATGAATTCCTGCACATTAATTGTTACTGGACAGAGTATGTAAACTTCAATTCTAACCATTAACTGGGGTGCAACAGAAAAATCTATCTCAGTTATTTACTTATCACAAATTACCTAATTACCTACATTTTGTTTGTTAGAAATTTGAATAGTACACACACATGCACACACATACACACATATGCACACACTAACACCCACCCACACCCACACCCACTCATGCTCATCCTCATCCTCATTCTCTCTCTGTCTCTGATTCTGTCTCAATCTCTCTCTCTCTCTCTCTCTCTCTCTCGCTCTCGCTCTCGCTCTCGCTCTCGCTCTCGCTCTCGCTCTCGCTCCCACTCCCACTCCCACTCCCACTCCCACTCTCACTCTCACTCTCACTCTCACTCTCACTCTCACTCTCACTCTCACTCTCACTCCCACTCTCACTCTCACTCTCACTCTCACTCCCACTCCCACTCCCACTCTCACTCTCACTCTCTCACTCTCACTCTCACTCTCACTCTCACTCTCACTCCCACTCCCACTCTCACTCTCACTCTCACTCCCACTCCCACTCCCACTCTCACTCTCACTCTCACTCTCACTCTCACTCCCACTCCCACTCCCACTCCCACTCTCACTCTCACTCCCACTCTCACTCTCACTCTCACTCCCACTCTCACTCTCACTCTTAGACCCCTAAATACAATAAGTCTGTAGATGCAGAGAAAGATATTCTGCATATGCTCATGGACGAGAGACAACACATATTCATCAATGATACATCTTGCCAAACTCCCAGTACGTTCAAAAATTCACTTCAAGAACTGCAACTTTACTTTAATGAAGGGGCTATCAGTTCTCAAAGCATAACACAAGGAACCCATTAGGAAAAGACATTTCTGAGCATTATTGACACCCTATTAAAAATTGATTTAACTTTTCAAGATATTTGGATCATCTTATTTTATTGCAGAGAATTTTTAATACTGTGATTTATATATCTTAATGAGGCTTCAATCCTAAAGGCATTAATTTTCTTGACCCATCCCCCCCCCAAGAGAATGAGGGGCCCCATCTATAAATAAAGTTTAACATAACTCAATTAAATTTTTTTTATTTTCTACTTTCAAAGAACCTCTGGGAATACCACTGAGAAAATCAAAATCCACATCAAAACCATAACAAGTGGCAAAATGTCATGGTAAATGAATAAATATGTCACAGGGAAGAGAAAGACTGGGCAGACTTGCAAGACCAGCTTCTTGGTAAAAGTGGGGTAACCGACCACTACTGCCATCCTTGAAAACTTTTGGGCCTTTGGCAATTTAAAGTGCACACATTCTCATGATCTATGCATTATTGAAGCTCCATTGCTCAGTAAGCATGAAATGAGACTTTTTTTTCATGACTATTTTTTTCCTTTCTTCTCTTTTCTTTATACACTTCTATAAATCTATGTAAAGAGTGATTAATACTCACTTTACAGACTGACAGTAATAAAGTAACAATTATCAAAGTTCATAAGTGGGT